TTATTAGCTCCCACAAGTGGGACAGATGTCTCACTTACTTTGATAATTTAGCAGCATATCTGCCAAAGAAGCAGCATGAAAAGGTAAAGTACTGTTACATATGCTTTCAGTGCATCTTAAATTATAGTCCAATAATGTGTATTACCATTACCCATACATTCAAAGTTCCAGGGATTTCTTAGAGAAGATATACAGTATATTGAAATGAATGAGAACATTGATTTCAGGATTGGTTGTTCATTGTTTACCTATTTGAAAAACAGTTAAGTACACCAATTCTGCTCCCTTGATTACAGAGGATGGCTTATTGCCTCCCTGTTACTAGTATTGAAAATAGATTGTTTTTCAGAGAGTTGAGTCAGCAAGGGTATCTAAAATCAGTAACAGAAGGTTTAGCAACTAAGGGGTGTTTGGATTTGGCAACAACCTTAAAGAATCCAAATGGAAGCAAGATTTTTATGCTTATATCCCTCTGCCATCTAGTAGTTTGTGTGTCTTTATAAACCCCTTGGGTGTAGTGCTTTGTGAACCAATATACCCCTTGCAGCTCATTGGCTTTATGGGGATTATAGTTTTAAGAAACACTATTGAAAAGTTACTGTGAGTAAAGAAGAGTAACCCATCAATTTCCAAAGAAAGTACCAGAGTGCTTTCAGCCTTTTTGTTGCTGGTTTCCAACTAAAGAACAGGGCTGAGTGAGAACCTGCAGATAACAATACAAAAGTCATTGAAAAACCGCAGACAGTGCAACCCATAGCTTTACAGTGACCACACTATAGTGACAGTATGTCACTGACTGAACACCCATGTAAAAACAATAGTGTTTGCTGAACAGATCTGCAGATCTTCCACCAAATTGTTTTTTGAGGCAGGTAACTCATGCCCCAGGTCTTGTGTTCCTGATGTAAACATAATTTAAATGGTGCTTGTGGGATGTAAAGCAGAATACTTTATGATGGCACTTTGATACATATGGTCCACTTAACTCTTATGTATACAACATGCAAGAACATGCAACTTATCTGGACAAAGCATGGCAAACAAAACATTATTGCTAGCTTATATTAGCACACAAAGCAGTAAATGCCAGGAAATAATGATGTAGAGGTATACAGTTAAACAGACACTATTTTACGAGTAATAAATGTCATAAAACATTTTAACTGTATTTTAACAGTACAGCTCTGATGATTTGAACTGTGGACTGTAGCTGTTTTATAAAACCAACCTGTATTTTAGGTTCATTGGATCTCTTTTAAATCCAAGAAGAGTTTCAAGAGAGATATTATGCACTTCTACTACTGCAGCACAAAAGATGATAGACATGTGAATCTTTTGGAATGTATTTATTGTAATGCTATTTTTATTCAATGTTTTGCAGTAACCTAAATTATTTGTATTTTTATAAAATGTGTTGAAATATATTATCTTCATCTGGCACATTCGTTTTACCGAGAAATAAATAATTCCTGTAGCATTTTAAATATATTCCAAAGAATGATAACAGAGTTCAGCATTGCTATGACCTGAAGTATTAAGAACAGAGAAAATGGAACAGCAATAACTACATGTTAGATCCAGTACTGACTGAAGTGTTGAAATAACAGTACAGAGTAACCTCTAATAATGTTAGAGAGGTTGAACTGAAATTTCAATAATTCACTGAATATATTGAATCCACAGCTACCAAATTACATAAAGTTCTCACATGTACTGTTCCATCTATTATAAATAATCCTTGCTCAAAATTAATGCATGTTTATGGTGTAATTATTTCTGAGAATGTGGTACTAAATGCTAGTTTGGTAGAATTGAAATTATATAAAAATAGACAGAATTAGAAAAACTCACTGTAGTTGCCACATATAAAGAGATATCAAACCCATCCTTGTACATCTATTAGGTATAGACCGCCCAGATCCCCTCTGCTGAGACTTACCATCTGGTGCATTAAATCTTTAGGATAAAAAAAAAACACTGTTTACTGAAAATCTTCTCCCCAGATCAGAAAACAACATACCTCTTCGCAAAACCAACACCTCCCAGAGATTTACCAGTTTGATTGTTATTGGTTTTCTACGAGGACCTGAAAGTATTGGTTAGGCCTATAAGGCTACCTTCAGGTATCTGACTGAATGCAGATGTTACCTGCCCATTCTTTATCAAGATGGGCTGAGAAATAAATGCCTCAGTTTCATTCCAAAGCAAAGTGAAGTGTGTGGTGGGACCCTTTTTGGCTGACAGTGGTAAAGTCAATAAAAGAAAGTTTTACATATTTCTATTATATTTTACCCTGGATTATGGCACTTTTGGACTATATTTCCTGTAGAACACATCTCTTCTTTATAGAACACTTTCTTGTTTCATCAGACATCAGCACATTTTGCTTTGAAAATAATTTTTTAACTATTTCTCAGTTCAACTTACATAGTTACATAGTTACATAGTATTTGAGGTTGAATAAAGACATTAGTCCATCAAGTCCAACCTTTTGGTGAATAATGGGCACATTGAGTGCAATGCCCTATGGCAGAGATCACTATATAAGCTTGGAATGTATTTCCCCATTGCTTATGAAGAACAATTGCCATTTTAGCTTTCGCTGCCCTTACATACCTTACTCAAAAGATGGCAGACTCTTAACAAAATTGTGGGGACTTAGGGAGTGCAGAATGCATGTGGCTACTGAAAGTGACAATCAATAAAGATGTATGAATTTTCCTAACATGATGTTGATGAAGAGCAGTTCTCTCCATCACTTCAAAAAATTAATTAAGGTAGAATGGGACCCTAGACAACGTAGCATATTATGGATTGACATTGGACTGGAGTAGTTATAATGAAGCCTCTTCCATTTACAATATCTGTACTGGCACGACCTTTTCCATCAAGCACCAAATGTCTACAAGCATATCTTCCCTTTTGAAGTGACAGGCGTGTGTGCAGCTTTGACAATTGTGTAATTCCCCTGGTTTAATGCAGTAGCATAATGTTTGTACCTTGGGCCCCCTGGACTTCCACCGGCCCTTAAGTTCCAGTCTAGGTTGCCTTGTTGATGATCAGGTTTTGCTTTGCTTTGGCAAATGTGAAAAAGTGAGATACACTAAAAGAAAAAACATGTAATGTAAAAATCTAATTACCATAATACAGCAAACATATTGCACATAATAATAAGAATTGTTTACTTGACCTTTAACCCTTTTGCTGCCGGCAATGTATCCCATACGTTGGCAGCAGCAGGACCCTGTAAACAGACTGCCAGCTACTATAGCATTATAAAGGTGACTTTTTGCTCTACACTGAAGGTAATTCCACAGGTTGCCACCAGTGCACCCTCCCCACCACCCCACCGTGTATCCTGAGCTTTGGTGCCCCTCCTGCAGGCCTAGGGCTGACATGACAGAAGTCAACTGAGACAGGGGAGGGAGACCACCAAACATCCTTTCATTGATCTCCTCCCTGCTGAATGATCCCAGAAGCAATGATGAATTTGTCATTCCCAGTTCCTTAGTGGTCATTCATTAACCCTTGATTCTCCTTTAAGAAAACCTGTCAACACTAAACCTTGTGAGCCCCATATGTGATAGCAATAAAGTTAGGTAAAACAAAGTTTAACGTTGAATAAAATAAATGTAAACCACCCAACTTTTTAAAGTCCCCCACCCCCCGCATACACACACATAATAATGCAAATACATATTGAGTGCGCCTACATACAACAATTATAATTGCATCACAGGTTAGATATTGCTGTACAATCTTAAGTGAGACAATGCTTCTGAGGTCAGTATTCATTGTTAACTCTAAATGATAGACTTGTAAAAGGTTTTAATGCATCGCCTATAGTCAATTTTGGGTACAGTATTCTTTTATGATTTCTCGGGCACATGGAATTTTTCAGCTTGACATTTTTGGTATCTATTTACTCACCGCAACCTTTCTCATCTTTTCTATTTTACAAGAAAGTGGGTAATACATTTGTGCTTATGTGCATTCATATTAACTTTAGTGTATTTTTACTGGAAATCTAGGTTTAACAGTAGCGCTAATATCATGTGACATAAAAAATTGCAACAGCCACCATTTTATAGGAAATATATAATATAAATGTGTGGGGTTAATCCTCTGGCCTTAAAATCAAATTTTAACATATGCAAAAATGGCTCTGGCTGTGAAATGGTTAAACCAAAATTGTGGCCAAAGCAAAATTACAAACACAAAAATAGTAGCTGGTAACATAAGCTGAAATTCTCCCTCTGTCACTGTTTCCTGACAGAGGGTATTAGCCCCCTACATCCCACTGACACACACGCACACTATTATACAATACAAAGCCAGATGTCTTTGCTCTCTATCAGCAGGCCTAGGCATTTAAATGTGGGAAACAGAGGGTCATACCTATTCATACGCAAATAGCAATTTCCAGCAAGTTACTATTTGCATATCAGTATCAAGATTTTCTTGGTAAAACAAAGTTGAAACTATATGCAGCTGCAGTTATGTGCTGTTAGCTAATAATGTCAGCTACCTGCTGCTGATGGAAGCTTTGTTATTTTGATTTTTCCAGATGGTTGCACATAGCACAAAAAACTGTAAATGTTGATATTGCAGTAAACTGAATAAGTACTATTTCAAAGACAACATGTAGCCATATAATGTGCCAATAGAATTGAAGCTTCATTATTTGCAGCAATGCCTACAGTGATTATATCTTTATTTGTACACTTGCAGCAATACAGTTAAGTACTGCTGGTAATGCTTTTTTTCCCACATGTTATAACTTGGCAAAAGTATCACGGAGAGTGCTTAACTGTTGTTTTATGCAGCAATACATTAAAATGTTAATTTATATATATACATTTTTCTTTAACTGCACAGATTGTCTTTCTTTTAGTAAAGTAACATTGATATCAAACAATTCAGTTTAAAGAAAATCAAATTGTCATTTAAAAATTAAATCTGTGAGCTGATGGTTATTTCCTTTGATGTTTTATTTGCAGCTCACAGCTGTGGATGCAGATGAAGGAACTAATGGGCAGATCACATATGAAATCCTAGCTGGAGCTCAGGGGAAGTTTGTCATTCATAACAAGACTGGTGTCATAACTATTAGTCCAGGAGTCACATTGACAGTTGGGGAGTCATATGCTCTGACAGTAAAGGCATCTGATAATGCCCCTCCTGCTCAAAGAAGGTACGTATAAATATTGAGCACTCTAATTCTAAAAGCTACATAGTAACACAAACGGTTTTGATTTAGTATGGAATGGTTAAGACCCTGGTCAGGTGTTTTTTTCCTGTCTTTGTCCCATCTTCCTGTCCCAGAGACACAACAGAGATTAAGAGAATAACTGTCCTAAGCAAGGGGATATAGCTTCTTAGGCAGCTGACAACAGAACATGTGTTTCCATAAGAAGACTTCCCCTCTCTGACTGTTCTTATGTCAGCTCAAAGATTTTGAAATTCCGATCTCTGTATGTACTGGAGAAATTTGTCAGCAGGACCAATAGTGAGATTGAAGCTCCCTGATGGGACACAGACAGAAAAACATGACAGGGGTCTTAATCATTGCTTACAGTATCCAAGAAAGTACAATAAAGTTTTGGCTTTACATACAACTTTTTTCAAGGACATGGTATTTACAATATCACCAAGAATGACAGGTAATGAGATTTCGGCCTTTCTTGTTAAAATGTAATTCTGCTGAGAACTGATTTTCATTTCTTCCTGACCTGGCCAGTCATACAGTGCAGTACATTTGCATTATAGGATTTCTTACAGTTAGCCCTTATGCACATTGGGGGGGGGGCATACACATTATGTTTGGGAGTATTTCCAAACTTAGGAAACCATAGGTGCTGCATACTGTCACCCATAGATGTCAATAGCTATATGTGGCTGTATGGTGGGTATATACTTTTTTAAACTCAGCCATGAGTACATACATATTCCCCAAGTGCTGACTGTGTTTGAGGCATACACTCATACACATACATGAGTTTACAAAAGTAACAGTGTATACCTGCAGTACAGTCATGTACAGCCATTAATGTCTATGGACAGCGTTACTCAGCACCTGTTGCTTTCCAGGTGGAGAAATGTGCCCATATTTCACATGTAAGGTGCCCATGCATCCATGTGCATGAGACCTTAGAAAAAAGGACAATGAAAAAGGCCTTGTGATGTACCACTCCATTGGCAACACGTCTAGGTGTTTTGCAACATAACACCCTTTGTAACAATTTGATTTTAATGGCTGGAAAACTGTTCTCAATTGAAAGAAATTCTAACAGTGAATGTGGTTTTTATTTAGGAAACTCCAATCATTCCAAAATCAAATGTAAATCAAAAAAATTTGATCGACATTCGTCATGTGTCTGATGGATTATCGGGTGGTAAAGAAAGATTTTGCTTACGAAATATCATTCAGAAATATACTGGTGTATGGCCAGCTTTAAAGCCTGAGTACTTTTTCCCTTACTTAGATTCTGTCTGCAATGTTTTGTTTTTTTCAGGAGTTCCATCACCACTGTTTATATTGAAGTACTCCCACCAAACAACCAGAGTCCTCCACGCTTTCCACAATTGATGTACAACCTGGAAATCAGTGAAGCCATGCGTATAGGTGCTAATCTTTTAAATCTTCAGGTATTGGCTATACCACTAATTGAATATTAGGTGTATTTTAACCAAAAACCCTTTATATTATCTGTGCCAGATAATGTGCATGTTTAATATTTTTATCATATACTGTTAACATGATCTTGTTGTTTTTAATGTACTAAAAAGTGTTTAAACAAATACAAAATAATAGTCAAATTGAGTATTGCTTATCTGGGGTACTTTGATACAACCAATGGAAATACAAGGAGAACTACCACACAGATAGTGTCAAAATGGATAGGTCCAAGGAGGTGTGGTGAATTATTTTGTACAAATCTTACAGCTTCTAGTCAATGGGTCAGGAAAAGTGCATGGCATTGTACTATGTAAATAACTGGGATGTGCACCATGATTGATGCATATAGGAAAGTTTCAGACACTCAATAAGTACAAAACTAGCACATTTACACTAACAATGCACTAAATCTCCTGGGTTTCCCTCCGTACCATGATTCAGCAATCTCAGTTCTTCTCTTCAGTGCAGTTGTGATCCCTAAGGACCACCTGCTGTGTACCTGTCTTTTTATACACAAATAACCACTAAAGTATTATACATTTTTTACTATATCCATCCAAAACTTTTGATGAATATAGCCTTTAATACAAAATGCACTTACCACAACTGCAGCTTATATGAGCTAAGCAACTGCCACCATTTATTTTATTTGTTAGGACAAGCTAATTATGGCAGAATGCATGCTGTGTCTGTCACATGTTTATTTTGCAATAAGAATAGTTTTAACCCTTTCGCTGCCAAGCCCTCCGGAACATTTTTCAAATCAGCTGGCCAAGCCATTTTTGAATTTTCTGCAATTTTTTCCTAACTGAGGAACAAAATACATTTAAAAAAACCATGCACTGTGATGCGTTCTAACAACGCACTGCAGCGCATGTGCATGGCGTACACCTCTATATGTGTATGCTATATGGGGGGAGGGAGTGGTTGTGATTTTTTTTTATTTGTTTGTACACATTTTTTTATTTTTTTATTTTTATTTTTTTTACATTTTCTATTTATTTTTTAATAATTGATATTTAACGATCCCCCACTCGGCCACACTACACAGAGCCGCTGTCATCCAAAAACTGACAGGATGGCAGCGGCTCAGAACAGAAGACGCTCAGCCATCCTGAATTGCGGCCAGCCGCCGCTCGTTCCCGGGACCCCCCCGACGGTGATTTTTTAATGGATCCCCGCTGCCACAGACCCTACAAGCAGTGGGGATCCATGGAGTCCCTCATCCCTCCCTGGGATGGCTCCAGGGAGGGATGAGAGACTCCAGATGCCGGCGGCCGGCAGCGGCGGTGCCGGCGGGGGGGGCCCCCGGTATTTTTGATAATAGCGGTCATCAGCGGCTTGTGAGCCGCTGATGACAGCTATTAATTTAAAGGGGACAGTCTGCTGAACAGTTCTACTATAAGCTGATGGTCGCTAAAGCGACCATCAGCTTATAGTAGAACTGTAAATGCCAGGTCCGTATGGCATACTGACCTGGCCAGCTGGAAGCACTTTTGTAGGTCCGTATGCCATACGTCCTTGGCAGCGAAAGGGTTAAAGAAAAGGTGCTCATTTTAAAGGCATTGAAATGCCTGACTAAAAATGATGAAAGAACAATAAAGAACAAATCAAGATTTTTGACACATTTTGCTGCTATAATGCAGAAAAGTTATTAATGTTCTTGTTTGTATGTATTTCCTATTTTTATACAAAATGTTATTATTTTTATTTTGTTTTCTTTTTTGGCCATTATTCCTAATACAAAAAGAAAAATGATGTTGCAAGACACATGATAAATGTAGTCCATATGTGACAGACTTTTTGAAATGCTCAATCCTAGAAATATTAATATAAAACTAAAATTGCATTTTTTTTGCTTTGCCCTAATAGGTAAATGCTGATTTGTCAAGTGCCAGGAAAATGATATATTTAATACATTACAAATACCTTTAATCTTAAATTGCAGGAATGCTCTATGCACCTTCTTTGGTGTGTTCTGGTGCATTAGGCAGCACATTCAGGTTAATAGGTGGCTATAACTCAACTCATTATGGTGACACCTTTAGGGGCAACAGTTCACAATGGTTACTAGTAGGGACCATGGTTACAACAGTCACAGATGTGAGAAGCCTAAGCTTTAGGAGTGCCTGACTTGGCTCTTGTCTCCACTCCTTTGCTGCCCCAGAATGTCACTTATCATTATGCAGAGCACACTGAGTGGAGAAGTGCTGGAATTGGTAGATTCTCTATAGCAGGAATGAGCACAGCGCACTGACTCATGTTACATGTCCCCAGGGTTCAAAGTACAGGGGAGCAGATTATATGGGGGTGAAATAAGCTATTTTAGTTAAAGTTATTTTCATAATTATGTGACTAGTTATTTACTGTACTTGTAACTAACGAGGAATTATGTTTTATTTTACAATGAATATGCCTATGCTTTCTTTTTTCAAAGGCTACAGACAGAGAAGGAGATCCTATTACATATTTAATACAAAATGGAGACCCTCAGAAAGTTTTTAATCTGACAGTAAGGTAAGACACTCCATGTAATTAAAAATAGAAGAAAAACAACTTGTGGGCTAACCTATATGTTCAATATGAATTATTGTAGCATATGAGAAATTCACGTTAGTTCTTGTAAGGCCTCAGACCTGCATGTAAAAGGTAGCCACACCAGCAAGACATGTACAAGGGGAAAGGTTTCTGTAGTGCATTAAGGCCATTAAGATTTTTTTTTTACTTAAGCTGGGAAAGCTGTAAGCACATTGCTTTACAATTTGCTTTAATAACCAACTAAAATACAGTTACAGAAATATGGTAATAAAAGTTGCTCTTTTAGTAATATGTACAAGCTTAGTTTTATATTTTCCTAGTTTACATGTCATTATTTGACTTACCAAAAGCAAAAGCGTATTCACTTTGTTAGGGAAATGTGGTAAAAATGTACTTTGCAATGAACAACCAATCAGACTTGCAAGGAAAATGTAAAAAAAAATATTTTTGCTTGCACATGATTGGATGATGGAAGTTAGCAGAGCTTCATCTCATTCACTACGCTAAGAGAAAATTAAAATGCAAACTAAAAATACCCTTTCAAAGTGAACAGCCTATTTGCTTTTATTAAATAAACCACATTGCATCTGTATACTTTCTGTTCAGTGCAAATTACTTTGTGGCCATTTATAAAAATGCAGTATATCAGCATATATACAGCATTGGTACTTATTAAATTGAGCTATAAGCAATAACATCAGTTTTTTTTTTCATCTAGCTTGTCAAAATTATATTTATAAAGTTTAAACAATTTTTGAAAATTGGTAATTCATATATCAAAAATATTTTTGACTGAGCTTCAGGCAATTTGCAAATTCAATCAGAGTTGCTAGTGTTATCTGTAAAATATTGCAATTACAGCCAAATTAAGTTGTCTTTTTTGAAGTGTATTTGTAGATTTGTAAGGTAAACTAAGAACTATACAAAAATAGTAACACTGCATTCAGGCGCTGGGAGGTGTCCGTAGTATCACATACACGGTATGTGCCTGTAGCCATACCAGCTTCAGACATGCATTGATTTGCTGATGATCTAATTTTCAGTTTTCAAAGTTATATTCTGCACCTGGCTACTCTGCCTGACTAAATAACTTGAATTGCCAGTATAGCCATGTATCTAGGCCAGGGAAAATGAAAACATTGGTGTAAAAAAGAGGCCATAGCTCTTTCTGGTTACTGTAATGTCCTGCCTTTCCTGCTCTGCATGCCCCCCTGTTGGCCACATGACACTCAGCCACCAATGGAAGGGTGAGGAGCGCAGGAACAGTAGGACAGACCAACACCACCAAAGAGTCCTGATTAATTTTTACTTTAACACAGAGCCATAGAAGCACTTTAAATGCAAAATATTCATACTTGACTGAACTGTATACCCTTTAAAAGAGAATAATGTATTATGTGATTCCTGATTATGATTGCTATATCAGATTCAAAATAATTAATTTAATGTGAAACTATAATGGGTTGTATTTATATTTATATTTCTTTATACTGTATAGGCAAGTTTATAAGCAAATGTTTTATGTTATATTTTACTACTTGTGTACAACCTTTATTTTTTTTAAAGTGAATATATGGTGCACCCACAACACTGATTTCGCAAAGTTAAAAGCCAGTACTGATTGACACCTTAAAAGCACAGACATGGCCATATATTTAGAGAAGAGGAGGAGGGGGTCCCTCCTCTGACCTGTAAATCTGGATGTGTAATTTATTTTCTGCCTTGAGGTTTATTTTAACACAGACCAGTCAAAGGAAGGTAGCAAAGTAAAAAAAAGGGTTTAAGTAGTCTAGAGCTCCACCTGCTAAACCTATTTCTGAACATAGTAAATAAGGAAAAAATATTTAAAATCTCTACACATTCCATGTTAAAGTATATGCTTGTCACTAACAATTACATTTTATGTTTTTTATTTAGCTCTGGATTCTTAATCTTGGCAAAATCTCTAGACAGGGAAAGTACAGACCGTTACATTTTGATAGTTACAGCTTCAGATGGCCAGCCTGATGGAGTAAGTTTCCGATTAACTTTGGTTCATTATGTTATTATATTACTTGGTATTGTATTTCTAAAACAAACTTTTAAATAAAGTTTTCTTGAAATTAAGGATAAAATATGTTGCAAACCATATACAGATAACTGTATAATATACAACTTTGTATTCCTTTTTTATTGTAGTAGTTTGGGGGGTTATAAATAGAGCTGTCATTTGTTTAATTCATTTAATATACAATTAAATTTTCAAACATGGTGTCTGTGTAAGTATACAAATAAATGCACTTTGCATTTGCAGGCACAGCAAATGATTAATGTTGCTTTGACTAACTGTTTACATAACACTGGTGCGAACAGTCCTTTGCAAAGGTTGTTTACATTTTTTTTCTGGATAGATTCAATGGGGTTCCAACCAAGCTATTTCTTTGAACCTACATGTGTTTCCTTTAAAGTCTGTGCCTCAGCAAATCAGAATTTTCCACCTGTGGAATCTTTTGCAATTTAGATCCTGGTCTTCCACAGAGATTACACACTTGCCATACACAATGATAGTTTCCCTTTATCACTGTTATAATGCTTTAGGTCTTTCCAAGTTTAGCCACTTTAACCACTTCCTGACCAATAACTGAATTATCCCGTCACAATCGTTCAGTTCGTTAACGACCAGTGATGGGATAATTCAGTCAATGGTACAATGAGTGCCTGTCCGTGAAGGAGCCAGCAGTTATTGAGCTATTGCTGTTGACGAGTCCCTCGTGGTCCGAAGCAGACCCTCAACAGCAGATTAGGTGGTCACAGTTTTGTGATCACAGTGAGAGCTGATCGCTGTGATCGCAGAGCCGTGACAGTTACACAGCTGGCAGCAGCTGACTGTGATGTGTGCAGCTGGTGCCGGCTAGTGTGTTTACAAACTGATACAAAGTATCTCTCAGCAGAATACTGTACTCTACTTAGAGATACTAAGTATCAAAGCCCCTGTAAATTAAAAAAAATATCCCCCAATGCCCCCTAGTTCAAAAAAAAATTAATGTAAAATTAGAAAATAAAATTTTTACAGTTTAAAAAATAAAGACAAAAGTTTAAAAAAGTAATAAAATGAAAAAACAAAAAATTGAAAATATAGTGTAACCTAAAACTCCCAAAATAAACTGAAATCCCAGACATATGATTGCCCTATAAATCAGATTAAATAAAATAATTTATTATGAATGACTTTCTTTTATCTAAGCTAATTATGTACACATTATTATTGCTAAAGCTGTTAAAAATGTTTAGTTTTTTTTCATTTTTGTATTTTTTATAAAACAAATAAGAATTGATATATGCATATGTCACATCAAATTATAGCCCATTTTGTCCTTTAAAAAAGGGTATATAACATGTGAAGGTCTAATGCATTAGGAATATGGAAATTATGGCTAAAAATAAACATAGCAAAAATGGCAACATTGCTCCACTCCACAGAAACAAAAACATTTCTGAAGCTGTGTCACTAAGGGGTTAATAATACCTCTAGGACCTTGATCCAGCACTCACTAAATTGAACGAAGGTGAAATATTAGCAATGTAAGACAACCATCATCACCTATTTAAAATGCATATGTCTTTGTAAATGATACTCTGAAAGAACAACATGTAAAGTGCCATGATATTGTACCAATGTTTGTTTAGGTCACTTCACAACCTTGTTTCCATTTCTCTTTGAGAAACTAGGAAGCATTTCACATTTAATTGTGCATGAGGTGAACTGTAACAGGTTTTATGTATTGAGTTTCTGTGACCTGGAATATTCTGGCAATTATGTGGTTTGTTGGCTTGCCCTTTATGTTTAACTACTTTGCATGATTGCTACAGACATGTTTTTATGATGGCATTGATATTCGCATGCAGCTACAGCTGTCATTTTATAACACTAAATTCAAACAAACAATGTAATGTGCAACGGCATTGTTTCTTATCTATTTCTGGCACTGATTTGGATAAAGACTATAGCACGATAAACAAAAGGACAATAAACAAACAAACATGATCTTAGAGCTGATATTGTTGTTACTTGCCTAAAACAATACATTCCCATTAATGTATAACATAAATTGCATATTAAAACAGACATGCACTGGAGCGCATGTGCAGAAGTAGCGGCATGATCTGCTGACGCTGCTCTGCTTCCCACACACGAACAAACAAGGAGTCCCACTCAAATAGATCCCACATGTGGCTGCTGCCTATGCAAGGATACCGGCATCAGAGCTGATGCTGGAGTATGGGCATAGGAGAGGAGGCAAGCCAGGCGGTACTGAGAGAACTTGAAGAAGCAGCTGTGAGGCTCTATATAATTGGAGGAGTGTAGCTGGTGTCAGTGGAATCAGAAGTATTGGTCAGCAACAGATTGGCCAAGGAGGATGCTTAAGGAAGCAGCCCCAGGGGAGAGGTAATGGCTCCTGGGTAAGCAGTAAAAACATGAGAGAACTGTCCAGCAGCAATATTTCCTTTTAACGTAATGGCAGAGTGGATATAAAGTTCTGTGGCATTGAAGTCTGCAGATTGTGTGGACTGCTGCTTTCTGCACTGGCTTTATGATTGTTGGAGAAGCACTAATAAGATTTGGGGAAGTGAAGATAAATGGGACTCAGTGTATGAGATATACTGGTGCTTAGAATCTTGTAGATTGTTACTTTTTGGAGCCTCTCTGTAAATGCCTGATAGATAGTAGTTAACGCTGCACAAGCAAAATGGACTTAGAACGCTGTGATATTGGAACCAGAGTCTCGGGCAAGTAGCCACTCTCTGGATCTGTTATGGGACTGCCTGGGGGATAGCATAATACTCAGGTAAGTAAAGACAGAGGGGATAAAGAGCATTGTTATAGAGGAATGGCTATTTTCTTGAATTGCCTTTCCCTGGATTTGATTTGTGAATGCCTGGTAGCAATTCACTCTCCAGAGGCGAAGGTGCTGTTATATTTGAGATAGTGCCCCGTAGAGATTTATATTCTCTGGATTCTGTTCAGTTGATCTTTCACATAACCAGGGAGGGCACACTATTCAGAAAAAAAAGGCACACAGCAGATGAAGGGGGGGCTGCAACCCCCCCCCCTCCCCCAATCTAAGACCGATATTAGTAGTTCCATGGAGAGTACAGTAATAGAAACTCCTAAATTTGGCAATATGGTGCCGTTCCAAGAGGGTATACAGTCCCATATAGAATCACAGGATAACACAAATTTCAGTCAATATTACAAAAAGTCCTAGATAGGGTGACTAAGGAAATAATAGAGCAGCTCACTAAAGAGATATGAGAACTGGGCAATAGAATTTCATTACTGGAACATAGAATGGATGAAACTACGGTTTTGGGAGGACATGAAGACGAGATTGAGTTATTGAAATTTGACATTGCAGAGTTGCATGACAACATTGACAAAGTAGAAAACTGGGCAAGATGTTCTAAACTAAGAATTAGAGAGGTCCCAGAATCAGACATGGATGTTCATGCTACTGTGATGGCTAGGTTTCAAGAGATAGCTCCAAACTGACCTAAACAACAATTAGAGATGGATAGAGCCCATGGGGCCTTGTCACGGCGGAAGCCAGAGGGCTCCCACAAGATATTTTTATAAAATTCCACTTCTTTAATACCAAAGAAAGTTTGCTTCAGAGAACACGAGAAAAGGAAGTGTTAATGTATAAAGATTATAATTATCAGTTATTTCAGGACTTAATTCCAACTGCTATTCAGAAAAAAAGGAGCTTTAAACCTTTTGTGGCAGCTTTCCAAAGCCATCAGATTAGATACAAGTGGGGTTTTCCATTAAGCTTTGTTTTACCTATAATGATAAGCAACAATTGCCCTCCACCATGGAGGCAGCAAGGACATAAACGGAATCACTGAGACTCATGGAGGGCAATTCTGAAGGGAGACTGGGCTACCCTGGGAAAACCTTGCAGGTCCCACAACAGACTTATGGATCATCATTGAGATAGAGCTCCTTAAAGGCCCTAGAAGCTAAAGGGAAAAAATGGAAAGTGGAGGAAGAATAATAAGAATTGAACTATATGATGTGTTGTTACTTTTATTTCTCTCTTCCCCTTTTCATCTCTTTTCCTGCTTAACCATCATGTTAGTATGGAGGGGAAAAAATATGTTAACTTCAGTGGTAGTAAGCCACCCTCCCTCTTTTTATTTTTTTCTTCTCAATATCTATATACAAATATGGGGGTTAAAGTAATAATAGATAAATGTTATTGCATGTGAAAACGTGGAAAAGGGTAAATATTTATTTGTGGATATTTTCACTTGGAGAGTTGTGGGGTTTCTCCCCCTTTTTTTCCCTTTCTCTTCATACTGTAGATGTAAGTATATGAAACTACTATGTGAAAAATGTGATTTATGATGGGGGAAAATGATCATTTATGATGACATGAAGTTAAATGATGTATGTCATAGAAATGTATGATTGCTATGACTAAGGGGGGTATCCACTGTAAAATGTATATGTTGAAAATGATTATCTTAAAAAACGGTTTAAAAAAGGTGTATAAATCACTGATAGGTTGGGGGATGACTTATAAAACAGAAAAGTAGGTTAAAGTGGATGTAACTAAGAAAAATATTTGTTGTAGAATGCACATGAGGAAATAATTATGAAAAGTATAATGGATTGGGGATAATGGTAGTCTTCACTGTTTGCTATGCAATATCGCCTTTTTTAAAGATAATAAAAGATTTATGTTTGAGTGGAAGAGAATATAAGACTACAGCTTTTTTACTTTAATTGGCTATATCTGTGGGTGGGGTACTGTGATCTTTTGATGGCCAACAATTTAAAATGTGTTGGAGA